GGTCCAAACCCCATTCAGTAAGTGACCTTAGACCAATCAGAAATTTTTACTCTAACTAATCTAGTTGCAGGGTTATTATGAGGCTAAAATGTGGAGAGGCATAGTATGTAGCCTGCCTTGTACTCCTTGAAGGATATGAATGCATGCAATTCAAGCATGCAATTTCTTAGGTGAAGAAACGGCATTGGCTGCTTATTCACTACCAGGCCAGGTCATGGTACTATTGTAGAAAGTCTAATGAACTTGGGACCGAGATACCTAAAGAAGCACCTTCTCTCTTTCTGACTTGCTCAGTCACTGAGCTTATCACAGCACATTCTCTTGGTGGTTCCAGAAGGACCAACAGCCTGATTGTAACACATCAGGAGAACAGCCTGCAACACTTTTCTAGAACTCCCTGCCTCTGAAGGTGAGTCAGGCACTAATACTGTGTTTCAGGAATCTTTCCTTGCTGACCAGTCACCATTTTAACATTATCTTGTTTTAATGCATTGTTTTTAGTCTTTTATCATGTTATTATCCACCACTCCAGAATCTGTCTAGAGATGGATCAGGATAAAAATGCAATAAATGAAATGAAATGAAACTAAGATGCCAGCAGGCTCTTCTGCAGGGGCCTATTCCATAAAGGCAACAATATTAAAAGGAGCAGTGTTGACCAGAAAGAAGTCTGACTAGATGAATGGATCTCCTAAAGTAGGTGCGTTGATGTAACTAGCAGCTACTGAGTAGTCAGTAAGAGGCATACTAGACATGTGCAAACTTAGGAGCATGCTTTTTACCCTTTGCTAGAACAGGTTTGTCTACCTTGTTTGTGTTCAATGAGTAATGCGGAGTGCAAATATCACTGACTCTTGGCAGCTTCAAACTGGGAGCTGGGGAAGCCAACTTATTTGCTCTAAAGACCTATAAACCCACATGATGGCTCTCAGTGCTGTGGCTGCATCAATGGCACTTGCTGACTAAGGATGGTAATTACACTTAGTTCTGCATTTTCCTGTGGCTGGGGAAAGTAATGGGGAACAGATGAGGAAAAATTTCTAATGTACACAGACTGCATGTGTGCACAATGCATTATGTGTTGCTTTTTCCCATTTAGTTTCTTCTCACTTCCAGAAACAGTTAGTAGCAGCGGCTCAATCACAAAGTAGCTTGTGGCTCAGGCACTGCATTTGGCTGCTCCAGAAAACCCTGTTGAGAATTCCTATAGCACAACCTTCTCCAACCCAACAGCCTTCAGCAGAGGCATTGAAGTATGACTCCTATCATCCTCACCCAGTGGCTCAATTGCCATTTTGACAGGGGATTATGGTGGTTATAGTCCAATACATCTAGAGGGCATGAGTAGCATTATGTCAAATGTCTAAAGAGGCATCACATAACTAGAAAAAGCCAAATGCAGACTGAATCCTTTAAGTGCCAGTAGAGTCCATTTCAGGTTTTGCAAAACAATTTTCATTTGGAAGGATTCTCAAGAAGCTACTCATTCACATACTGAGACTTTGCAACAACATGTTCTTAATGTAGTTACTTTTAACTTCCTTTCTTTTAAGTTATTCATAATGCATTTTTCTTAACAGTTACCAAAGCAGCTTAACATGTAAATATGCTAACAATAAAACACAAAAATATATGTAATAAAAACATCAAAATACTAAACCATCATGAGACATTTTGACTATTATATATCAGGAACAACAACTAAAACAATCACAAAATGTTTTATACAGTAAAAGCATTTTCAATATTTTTCTAAAAAGGGAGAATTTCATAACTGCAGTGCCACCACTGAGAAAACCCTTCTGCTCTTACTTATTGCACCAAATTAAGTATCTGCTAAAGATGGATCAGAGAGGACCTCCAATGCTGATTTTAACAATCATACCATCACCCCTCCTCTATTACAAAACTTTATGAGGGGCGAGTGTAGTGTCTAGTCAACATCTTCCATACACATGCACACTTGCTTCTGTCTCTTTTCCCTCTGTGGAAAATCCATTAATGAAAAAAAGGTAGAATAGCTGTAGAACATTTTCTGACTGACAGCACTAAGAGCCCTATGCACAGAAGCAGCCAAGGCTAGCACCAGTTTGTATTTGCAGAGATCCTTAAACAGTCCAAACCAGGTTAGGGTTTAAAGATTAACACCAGCCATTTAAATGGAGCACAGAAACAAAACAGTAAGAAGTGTAACTGGTGTGGCATTTTATATCTCATAACATCACCTACTTGATGCCCTAGAAGAATAATCACACCTGGTTCTGAATACCTGGAGGGAAGCTGGTTGCTTTGCAACCACCTTTCCTAAATGATTCCAAAGCCACAGATTTACACAGCCAAAATTTACCACAGGCTGGATTTCTCCCATGGACTGAGATGGACACAAGAACAAGACTTTGGTGTTTTCATCAGAAGCAAATACATATAATATATAGAATATAATGCTTTTAGTAGTCCCATTTATTCAGTGCTACTCAGACCATTTGGTTTAAAAAGATGTTATTGGTGTTTTTCAAAGAAAGTTTAATTATGATAACCACAAGACATTTTTCACCATGAACTAGAAAATGCATAATTGTCTACTGAAGGATCATTTACCCACAGCTCAGTGCTAGTTACAGTAACTTCTGTCCAAAGCCAGGCCTCACTTGTATCCAGAATTGTCAGATAAATATTTTTCTTCTAGCTACCTAAATCTAAATATACATTGTGTGAGTCATCATTTCATTGACACAAGTGGAGGAATTATTTATGTCTAGGCAATAATGCCACCCACTCGAGGGGCCTTGCCCCTGGGAAAAGAAAGGAGGAAAGACACCATTAAATTCATGGTCGATGCTTATTGGAAGCTCAACCAGTGGATGATGCCTTGGGGGGGAATACTAAATCAGAATTATTCCTGTGCATGCGTGTGCACACACAACATGGCTGCAGATGGCATTTGCCAATGACACAACGGTTAACATGCTACAGTAACCCAGAAGTAGCACAGCTTATCAGATTTTATATTGCAGCTCCCCTTCTCCCCACTCCCCAAAATTGGGGCCTATTTCCTCTTCCTTTCCTGGAACCTCTGCTCTGTTGTTGTCCTTTAAGACATGGGACGAGGATTTGTCAAAGTCAATGAGCACTTTATTAAAGGGAGAGTGCTCAGTAATGAACAATTCAGCAATTTAATGAGATTCTGTAGCTCTGTCTCCAGCCTGTATATCAAGTTTCACTTCTATAAAGCACCCTGACACTAATCCTCTGGCATACCCAATCTTCACCCTGGGCTGAATATTAGATTCTTCCATGGTATATTGCATTACCAGTATAACCTTAGCAAAAATGATGAACTTAACTACACTTGAGGCAACAGAGCAGGCCTGATTTGATTTTCCTGTATTGGGTTGACTATGAGGGAATTACTTATTTACTAAGATAAAGCAAAAACAGTTTCTTATTGCCCACTCAAAGCTTAAATTGGCAAATATTTATGTGTGTCTTAATTCATTCTGGAGGACCAGAAATGAAATATATATATTTTTGCCCACAGCAGTAAAACAGCTTAAATATTCTACATAACAGCATTAGTAACCATCAGAGAGGCAATTATGATAACACCTAAACTGGTCAGAGTAGAGTTTGCTGCCACTCAGAAAGCAGCACATTAACCACTGCAGAGCACCATAGTAGCTGCAGGAATATAGCATCCCCTTGCATTTTTTCATGGGGTATTTTCTCTCTGCTAACCTAAAAAGTATTTCTATTTTTATCCGTCAGTATAGGAACAGAGACACATTTTCTGAACTACAAGGCTTGCATTTGTTTCACTGGGACATGGCCAAATTGTTCTTCTCCTGCAGGTACCAAGCTAGTGTTCATCGCTCTGAAAAGAGTCACTTCAGCAAACACTCAGATAGAGACAGTAACACCAGTTGCCTGGTAGAAGCACCTACCCAAGTAAACCTAGTCTGAGTTTATAATGTGTGCAGAAGTGAACCTCTCTCTGTATCCACTCTCTTGATATGATATGAGTTAAGATAGTACTGCTTAAGATACCACCAACGCACTCTATACATCCTAAGGGCTTCTCTCCTAGAGGCCTGAAAGCCACTGGGCTTCCCTCTTAAAAAGTCCCCTTGCAGCAGGGTCTATTGCCACTTCAGTTCAGTTCAGAAACCTGCCCACCCCACACAACTTCCACGGACAGGATATACAATTATCACTGGATTCTTGAACTACCGGGATTCATGAAGACATGCCAAATAACTGCTGCAACTGATTTGGACACTGAACTTCAAAACATTTTCAACAGGAATAAGGTAGTATTGGTTATGTCAAAGTTATAGATTAATCTTATTTAACTACAAGAGGAATGAGCTATACTATGCAGGGTTCTAGCAAAGGATGCTTCTACTAATTTCCTGGTTCCTTTTTTTCATGTATTTAAGGAGGAAGGATGCAGTCTACCTTCAGCAAAGTACATTTTAGGGGTATATATTTCTCCAACGACAAACCAGATTACATCAAATATCAAAGGGCAATTCTTCAGTTAAGAATTTAGACTTTCATAAATTACACACCAAAGAAGATGATGTGATTTCTGATTGAATTGGTTGTAATAGGTCAATTGAACAGAGTTTCAGATATCATGATCAGGTGAGATACACTTCCCCTTCCCAAAGCATGGAGATATCTATAAGGTGCCATAAAGTCTTCCCTCGGCACGCATGCAGAGGCACACTGTGAAGTTTTATAAACAGAAGATCTGTAAATCTTTCCTCTATCCCACCCACTCCTCCTACTTCACTCAGTCAAGGAATACCATCACAGTGCTGTGTCATGCCAAGGGGGTGAGTTCCCCTGTGCTCTGTGGGGATTCCTCACTCCAATAATTTTCTTACAATGTTTCCTCACTAATTTTCATACTAATGTTGTTCTCTGAAAAGCTGAAGGATCCACAACAGTTTTTTTCTACAGTTTAACGTAAACTGTCCATTTTCTTTGTACTTTACCTGCCAGATTTGTTCTTCACTGAGTGATGTGAGTCGGTCACTCTTCAAGACCTCTCGGATGAGGCAGTATGGTAATGCCAGGACTTCTTCTGGGCGGCTATTCTGAAGCTCAGACAGGTGTTTCACTAAAAAGTCGACCACTGCTTTCTCCAGTAGAGTGAGGTTAAAGAGGTCAGCAAGCTTATAGAGGTCCAAATAATTAAAGCTATTTAATTCCTGGCCAGATAAAACAAAAATACATCTTAGAATGAATGCAGTGTTTACACATAAGCATAAAGAGTTACAGTGCAGGAATGACTTCAGATGGGGAAGACATTCTTATACTTTTAAAGTTGATTATCTACTTATACAACCATGCTTTAATATAGTGTATCTTGAACAAACTATTGCCGCAGTTGAATCCCTACAGATTTCCCAACAATACCAGCTAGATCACTCATGCATTTATAAATGCACAAATACTTATATACTGGATTTATACCCTTCTTGATATTAAACAAGACTGGCACTCAAGGTGGGTTACAAGATAATTTAAAATAGATTAAACCACAAATATGAAAATACAATAAAAACATAACAATTACGGAATAAAAACAGCACCCAACTGAGCAGACTCATTTAAAGGACAAAGGCCTTCCTGACTGAGACAGATTTTTTCTGCCACCAGACGGACAGCAAAGGCAGAATTAACCTAATCGCCCCTGGCAGGGAGTTCCACTGCTTAGAAACTGCCAGCAAAAAGGCCCTTTCTCAAGTCACCACCAAATGCACCTCTGATGTTGGCAATCCAAGAAGTTAGTATTCCCTATGTAATTAAGACTTGGATAGGCTTGTATAGGAGAAGGCCATCTTTCAGGAAGCCTGGTCCCAAACCATCTAGAGCTTTATAGGTCATACCCAGCATTTTGAATTCTGTCCAGGAACAGACTAGTAATTGGTAGAGTTGCTAAAACAAGGGAGTCCATGCTCCCTGGAACTTCTCCCAGTCAACAGACTGGCTGCAGCGTTTTGGACCCACTGAAATTTCAGAACAGTTTTTAAGGGCATTTCCACAAGCATGTGACAATAGTCCAAATGGGATTGAACTAAGGCATGGGTGACCAAGGCCAGCTCAGTTATCCCTAGAATGGGCACAGTTGGCACACTAATCTTGACTGTTCAAACGCTATTCTGGCCAGTGCGGAGCCCTGGGAATCCATGTTCAGGGATAAGTCCAAGAGTAAACCCAAATGGAGAGTTTCAGTCTTCGGAGAGAGAGCAGCCCCATCTAGCCCAGGCTGAAGTCCTATTCCCATTTCTGCCTTTGACTGACTAGGAACATCTCTGCCATATTTGGACTAAGCTTCAATTTGTTTACTCTCATCCAGTCTGTCACCCTCATCAGGCACTGAATTAGTAGCAGAAGAGCTTCCTTCAGTTTGGATGGAAAGGGGTGAGATGGTTAGGCGGCACTTAACCTAGTCAATTTCTTCCAGCAGTTTCATGTACACATTAAATAGCATGCAGGATAAGATGGAACCCTGAGGGACACAGCTACAGAATCAAACAAGATTCTCTCAGCATCACCATCTGAGATTATTCCCCCTAGGACTGGGGTCACTATTCAACACTGCCTCCCAATCCCACCTCTGACAGAATACGTTGATGATGATGCTGAAGGCCACCAAAAGATCCAGCAAAACTAAAAGGGATGCAAACACCTTTTCCAGTTCCTGGCACAGATGATTCACTAAGGCAATGAGGGCAGTCCCTGTCCAGACAGATTATATTTTAAGAGTGTTAAATACACATGTAAATTGCTACCAGTATTGCATTATTATAAAATCTATATTAAAGTAGATACAAAATGTTCTCATATAACTGTCTCTTTCAAAAATGTATTTCTATAGGAAGCTATCATTCCACTCTTCCTTTTCAGGAATTAGAACTATCTCCAAGTCACATCTCCAAATTTGCTGTTTATCTTCTTGGAGTTTTGGAATCTGTAACAGCAGCATTTCCTTTGTTCATTGCTTGAAAAATAGTAGTATCACATAAATCAGTTGTTCTTTGCTACACAACGCTAGGAACAGCAAAAACTAGAGGAGGAAATAACCGGCATGACTGTTCTTTTTCACAGATCTGTAACTGCACAAGATAATTCAGCAGGGCAATTCGAAGAAGCGTGTAGTCTATTATGTATGTTCAAGGGAGGCTTTGGATCTTCATTTCTTGAACAGAAGGGCCCACATGCCAGAATAAGGTTTGCAATAAGGTTATGGATATTTGCTGTTCGAAGTCATAAATTGAAACCTTCAAGTCGTAGGACTTACCTAAAGTTCTTCTTCAAATTCTGGCAGTACGAACAGATTGATTGTTATTATTAGTCATCACATTCTTTTCATGCACTTTGTCTAAGAGCATTGCATATTAATATTGCACTTTATTCTAACAACTACACTGTAAGGGAAAATAAGCTAGTAGAAAGTGACTATCTATGATAAGCCTCATGGCTGTATAGGGTTCTGAACCCAGGTTTTTGTATTCCCTGTTACTGGCTTCTTTAGAGGCTAAGCCGAAACTACATGCTCTCTCTTCTACATACAAGCAATCTGATCAAGAACTTAAGTGCGGAGCTTTTAATACCTCAAACTTCATTCTACAGTATTATTTTAAAAACGAAAGGGTCCTTACCCACTCAACGCTACAAAACGTTAGCTCTGAATTCTACAGCCTTGGTAGCTAAGTATGTCAGCCTCCTCCAACAAAATTTACCCCATTGTAATACCAATCACTTCTTCGGCTTAAAATTATACACTGCTATCCAGCTGATGAAGCTGCACGCCAAAAATGTCATGCTGAGATTGTGAAATGTATATTGCTGATCAGATAACCCACCTTCCAATCAGTGATATGGCTTTTGGAAACATAATGACATGATAAAAGTATAGAAAATGTCTGCAAAATATTAACTTTTTGCATTCTTTTCATATATCTGCTAAAAAAAGGCAATGATTTGAAATATAACAAATCTAATCTGCTTCTTCAGAATACATTTCAAATTAAACATAGGGTTTAAGGTTTACATTAAAAAACAGTAATATTTTTAACAAAGCTTACTAAAAAGTATTTTATTTTAGAAATGATAGTAGGAACAACCCAGAATTTACCACGTTAACTTTGTACCTACTTAACTTTTAAAAGCTTTGTTGCTTTATGGTATATGTTGCAATGAATGCCCAGAAGTTCAGTAGCTACTGATATAGATGTGTGAGAGATTGGACTGTTAGTGCCATAGTTAGTCACATGCCTCATCAATATGACTTTTGTGGATGCCTATAATTTAAAGGGATATACTAATGAATTGGACTGTCAGCATCTCCCCCCCCCCACAAAAGAAGGGGGACTTTCTGCAAACATTCACAGTATAATAGATTCAGCAGGACCAGTTCCTAGATTCCTAGAGTAGAGTTTGAACCACTTATTCCTAGCAGAAGGAACAAGAGCTGGAGACCATGTCCATCCAGTAACATCTACAGGACAGAATCAAAGGGCTTCAGTGCCCCTTGTGGTTCTTTTCCTTTTCAATGTTATAATTTCTCATTTATTTATTTAGAGACTTATATGCCGCCCCATTCGCCTAAGTCTCAGTATAGCTCTCTATAGCTCAGTAGTATTACTATTTGCCCTATCCAAATCCAAAACTTGTAGATACTGTTGAAGTGGAATATGATACCACCATGAAAAGCAGGAGCTTTACTACTCTAATGACCCTTGAACAGACCAACAGTCTGAACATAATTGTTTTTCCAACTGTATGCTACAATCATTAAGTTTATTTAGAGATTCTCAAATAGTCCTGTACCAATCCCTAATCATTTATATCCATATTTCTTATAAATTCAGCATCAGTCTCCTTCTTCAGCCAGAATGAATGGTTCCCATCCATCTCTGAAGTTACTACCACATCCATATGCTGTAGACCAGCAATGACCCATTCAGTGACTAGAAAGGAAAACAGGGAAAGTAATGTACCCTCCCCACTTCTTGCTTTTCCCTTCCTGAGGCCTTTTCTACTGCCACCAGATAGAATTACTTTCTTTTGCTTCTTCTGCCAAACCAGCCTGAAAATTCTTGGCCTCAAGTGGCTATTTTAGGTAGTGTGAGTTGGCTATTAGACATAGGCTGAATAATCCAAACAGACAAAAAGAACACCATTTCAAACAACATTTTTTAAAAATACTGAAGTGTTAACAAGAATAAGGTTTAAAAGTTGAATGCACATGCACTACATAACACAAAAATGTCATATGAGCAACAGAGTAATACATGTGTTTATACTTTTTTATTTTAATAAGCTACCTATACAACATCCCTCTGTTAGGCAGGTCCCTTATCCAAACAATATATTAATGCCACTAGTCTAGCATTCTAAGTGATTTCTCCAGCGCCTGCAGTTCTCCCTCTTCTAGACCTCTAAAATTTTCTTCTTTCTACTTGTCCAGTCCTGCCTTTCTGCTTTAGCCTTTCATCTCTTAAAATTAGTTGTTTCTCTCCACAAAAGTCTGTCTGAATTTTTAAAAAAACTTTGCTGGTGGAAGGACAACAAAGAGGAAACTAACCTGGCCTGTCTTGGCAGAGCCTAGAAGCTACCACCTGCTTATGTTTCCACCAAATGTGCCTCCAGTATAGGTGGGGAAATGGATAGTACGGGTGACTTGGTCTTTTGAATAGTCTGGGTCCCAAATCATGAAGAAAAGACACAACCAGCACTTTGAATTGTGCCTATTGTCAGTGAAGTGGCTGTTTCAAGAGAGCACACGATCCCTATAGCTGACCCTGATCAATAGCATGACTAAGGAACTTTGCCCCTGCCATAGTTTCAGCACACTTTGCAAATGCAGCCCTATACAGAGTACACTACAGTAGCCCAAACAGGATACAAGTCTTTTCAAACAGGCAGCCTTCTCCATACTGGTGTTTCCAGAGGTTTTGGACATTATGACCAATTAAGCCCTGCCAGCATGGCCAACGCTCAGAATCCTGGGAATTGTAGCACGAAACATCTTGAGTATACCAGCCTAGAGGAGGTGGAATTAAGGCATATACAAGTAGAGCTCATATACCAGCCAGCCAATGGGCAGAGCTCATATACGAGCCTTAGCTCTACAAACAGATTCCTGGCCATCACCTAAATCTGGGTATCCAGATTTAGAGTTGAATTAACAAGAATACTC